CTTGTTTTAAAGAGCATGTTACATGATAAAAATAAATTACACTATTATGGACATAATGAAGAATTCAATGAAGAGCTATACAAAAATTTCATATCCAGTGAATCATTTCTGCAACAAATATCGATATTAATCCAGTTGATATTGGTTTACCATTATTTAAGAGAAGATCAGCTTAGTTGCGATATGTGATAAACCTTAAGACCCAGTTAATGGAAAAGCTAAAGCCGTTTTTAGTTGGACTTAACCTAATCGGAAATTTAATTTCTAGTTTGGGATTCTGTAAACTGTAAGCAGATATGAATGATTGTCTCAACTTCGAAAACGTATTGGATACGGTCTCATTGATTAGATATGAAATGAATTTCTAAAAGACATGCATTCAGCTTGTGCAACTTGAATTGAAGATAAACATTTGCTGCAATAAGGCTACGCTGCTGAGTTGGTCTTTTCAGTTTTGGAAAATTACGATGTGCACCTTTGATAATCAAATTGAAGCCTTTACGGTTGTCAAAGTAGATTATTTGACTATATTTTGTTGAAATTTTACTACAAGACAAGGCGCTAACTAAAAGCTTAAAAATATTGTGAGTTAGTATCTGAAAAAAAAAGTTGGAAAAGGAAAACGAAAGAAAACCTTTCAGTCATCATTTTTTGGTAATTATGTCACTTCGATTTATTTTTGCATGGGAAAGAAATAAATCGAACGTAACAAAAACTTTAACACGCTAATAAACTATAAATAACAGCATTAAAACTTGAGTAAGTGAGCATAGATATAAAAACAAAGAAATAATCCATATAATCTTAATGCGCAAGATCCTTCACTAGATAATGTTTCAAATATTCAATATGAAAATATATTAGCATGAATGTAAAAGAAAAACTGGTTGTTTTGTGCCAAAGGCAAATTGATATTTAATGGAATTCTGTGTTTATGGCAATCTATTTACTTCTAAAATTACATTTCATTTTCAGTTTTAGAATACTTGCAAATTTCAACCTATTACAATAAGCCTCGACCACTTGTTAATAATGCTATTAAAAGTAGTTTTAATTCAATTGAAGTGAAAAATGATTTGCCTGGCAAACTCTATTGCCGTAATTACTGCAACTGCTTCGATTCTTGACCAGTCTAGTATGTCGGAGAGTGCCACTGTCTACTGTTTCTCCTTTGTTCGAGCTTTAAGTTCGTTGCACCTTGACTGTATACTCCCAATCTTTGAAGGTGTTTTGCCAGGCAATCCGTCCGGTACGTAGTCTAAACTCAGCAACGGCTTCGATTCTTGGCCAAAGTTAAACTCAGCAACGGCTTCGATTCTTAGCCAGTCGGCTATTTCGGAGAGTGCCACTGTCCACTATTTCTCCCTTGTTCGAGCTTTGAGTTCGTTGCACCTTGAGGTCTTGAATTCTCTTCCAGTCGGCTATGTCGGAGAGTGCCACTGTTTCTCCTTTGTTCGAGCTTTAATTTCGTTGCACATTGAGGTCGGTCTCTCCTATAAGTTCGTTGCACCTTGAGGTCTGGAATTCTCTTCTGATTATGGCCTTCATTTTCCTGAAGAAGTCGAGCAGTTGGGTGCAACACACTACATCCTGAAGAAGTCGAGCAGTTGGGTGCGCTGAGGGGAGCGCATTTGCTCTGGAGGAGTGTTTGATTTCCTGAAGACTGAGGGGAGCGCATTTGCTCTGGAGGAGTGTTTGATTTCCTGAAGACGCAGTTGGGTGCGACACACTACATCAATGTCTGCTAAGGTCAAGCAGTTGGGTGCAACACACTGCATCAGTGTCTGTCAATAGGTTCATGGGCAACACACTACATCAGTGTCTGCTAATGGGTTCATGGGTAACACACTACATCAATGTCTGCTAATGGGTTCATGGGGGTAGAGGGAGGCTTTTTGGTTTGTCATCGATTTGTAATGGGAGAGAGAGGCTTTTTGGTTTGTCATCGATTTGTAATTCGTTCTTTGATTTCTACTTAAAAAATGTAAAACTCTTCAACTGTAATTGGTAGACGTATCATACTTTTAAAGAATTACAATTGTATCACATCCTACTTCCATCCCAGCGTCATATTCTATTTTGAAAATTTATGTAAAGGCATTGCTTCATAATTTTAGAACCATGCTATCAGCACACCGATGGCCGGTACATTCAGCGTTTGGGACTATACGATATATATATATATATATATATATATATATATATATATTGATAGTTTCGACTAGCACTTGATGTGAAATTTTGAAACCGCCTGTAATTTATAACAGAAATCTAAATAATGTAAATATATCTTCACAAAGGATGCTAGGATAGTTATTTCGACAAAAATTGCCATGAACCTATTTTCATTTCAAACAAATGAGCTTAATTAATATCAAACGATTGCATTCTTATGGGCATTTCAATATTAGAAAAAAATTTTATAATGTTACATTTGTTGTTGTGGAATGGTAGAGGAGAAACAGGGAAAGTGTGGTGACATTTGACAAATAAATTTAGGGCAATTGATGCGCAATTTTCTCATTAGAGAGGAATTCACTTCGTCTTGGGTTAGGGTCATTCAAATTTATGTTAACGTATAACTATTAAAACAGATAATTTAGAAAGTTTTATTTGACGAAAGGGATAATAATTAAAATTTCCATAAGCAATGTTGCTACATAATTTTAATATCTGATACATATGAAATTGCGGCTTTTAACCTGTTCTAATCAAATTGAAATTCAAATGGCCCAATTCTAGAAAATTATTTTTAAAACCAAATTAATTAGGTATTGGCATTTGAGAAAAAACATTGTATATTTTTTGGCTGCTTCTCTTTTCTCTTAAAGCGTTGAGATTTTTTATGGAAAATTCGAATTTCATTTGATATTTTCTATCTAACAACCTAGAGATCCATTTTTTACTTATCCATCTCTTTCCTAACTTTACTTCAAATTCCCATGATTATGCATCTATTGATAGACACTTTTTCTTACTTTTTCGAATGTGATTGTTGTGATTGCAAGCATTACTAACAAGGATTGAAGAAAGCGTATACTCATTTCACGGTAGGTTCATCTAAGCAATATATCAATTCATGCAGATTTATTCCATGATTAGCTTTTTTCCCACAGATATCTGGCTGATTTAGAATTGGCTTTGGTCGACTGTATGTGTTTATTTTAGCAAATTCTACTTATAATGGGCAGAAGTTGAAATTGCTCTCCTCAAGTCTATAATAGTTTTGTCAAATTCAAAACTTCTTAACGGCAAGCTCAAATTGACTGAATATGACTTACTGCTGTTTTCAAAGTTTCCGCACCACGTATATGCATGATATCCTTCGCGAAATTTTCAAATGCATTCATGTCATGACTCTAAGTTTCAGCTTAAAGGCCTCTTTCTAAAATGGATTAAATAGCTTTATTTTTGCATGGTACACAAGTTTCAACCGTCCTGCAATGTCATTAACCATACCATATTGCTATTCTAAAGCACAACTTGTCAGATGCCCCACCAATCAATATTTTTATTCATTCTTAGCGTACGCTTTAAACGTATCGGAATTCTTGCAATGGAGATTAGTCTAGTCTTTTTCATTCGAAATCTTTTACAATTCACTGAATACAAAAAGAAATTAAAATTTAATTTTGAGCATTTATTTCTTACAGAAGGAAAGCATTTTACACTACAAATTTTGAGAAATCGATATTTCGTGGTAGTGCAGTAAATTTATAACACATTTAGTATCTAATTGTGATGACATGCTCAATGTATGCCATCATGGCTGATTAAAGCAATATCAATCACCACTGAGCATTAGGTTGGTTTGACCTTGCGTTGCAAACATCTAAGCCAATCGGCAATCGTTATTGTTCATAATGATAATTGTGTGATTCGCTTTCAACAAGTAAAGCATTGCTTCCTCATTTCAATTTGATGTAGTATATTTAATTTCAGGCATTTAAGCGAGATGTCATAAAGATTTATGGAATTCTTTACAGAAGGTTTATTTTGTAACGCCATCTAAATCCTTAAAGTGCCTAATGATTTGCATGATACTATTATAAGAGACAGTGAATTTAATCATATTAAATACTATTCGCTCAAGTCAGACTGGTTAGTCAAAACAAAAACGAAACCAATGGAAAATGGTCAGCGCATTCGGGAAAAATTTTCTACTTCCCCTGTTTAATTCCAATTTGTTAGGAAATATTAGATCTGGGAGCAAACTCCCCAGCAACAGTAAGCCTTAAAAATATTTCATTGCCGATTGTTCGATTTGCTTATGAGAGTTTAAATTAATCAAAAGAATTGAAAATAAAGTTCTTTCTTAAACCTGGATGATTTGGGAATTGTTATTTATTGTACTCTTGGATAAACTGGCAGTGAATGCATAAAACCTTTTCATAAAACGTATGCTAATCAGTCAACAACTGTTGAAAGTCTCTAAGTTTAAATCCTCTAATGAAGCCCTACTTAGTACTTATTATTGGTGTTTGTAAAGAAATTGTTTCATTATCTTCGTTATTTGGCAAATGTGAATGGAAATAAAATAACTTTACTTCATAAAATCTAATGTCAATCGACGTGCTTGCTACTGCTTTAATATGATCATTACAAATATTCAGTTTGTTATAATTTCATTAAAATGCCATATAGTAGTGGAAATGCTTGGTTTGCTGAAATTAGATTTGT